ATACAAGGTAAATATAAGATTTACGTACACACAGTTAACTTATCTATGCAAAGTCGCAAATATTCCACACAACTTTTATGCTAATAATGTATTTTAAACTAGAGAAAATACATAAACTCATTCAACTTGTTATGTAAAATTATTTACACACCTAAACTTTACGGGTGTCCTAGCACCCCATTATTGTTAAAATATTTGTATTTATTTACTCCCTCCTAAGCCTTGGTCAGCCGCGTGTCTTAGACAACGCAATTGAGCGCGTCTTTGCTCTATTTTAATCGTTAAAAATACCCACAAAAAAAAAGAAAAAATTGAATTTTCAACTTCAATATAACCCCCAACCAACAGTAAAATTCATTCTTCCCAAATATTTTACCAAACCCAATTGAAGAACCCTAATTTCTTCTTCATCTAAATTCTGCCGAAATTGCATCAAATTGCTCTTTGAAGTTTTGATCTTTGAAAGCAAAGGTTAATCTTTCTCCTCCAAACATAATAAGGTTTCACAGATAATTCAACTTCAATGTTTGAGCTTGATTCTTCAAAGATCTTCGGCTTCGAACAGGTCTCCTCCAACTCGTCGAAAATTCTAAATAACAATGAAATCGAAGGATTTTGCAATCGGTCACTTCGATTTTGTTCGGGAAATCGATTTTAGCGAGGCAAGAATAATTTTCAGTGGTTGGGCATTAGGATTCTTCAATATGGAAATTTTTAACTGACGGGGTGAATAAGGCTCATTCAGAGACTGTTATTTTTAATACTAACATTTTGAATTAAGAAAAATAATTAAAGTTTGACCAGAATAAGCATCCAAAAGAGCTGATTTTTCATGAAATACTTTTGAAGAGACCATAGAAAGATTTTGGTTCTTTGGAAGAACAGAGGTCACGCCCATAACCAGATTTTTCCATTGAATTGAACACTGTTTTTTTCTTGGTTTTTATGTAATGTTTTTTTCTGAATTTTCAGTGGGGAATGAATTGGTATTTGGAATTCTTCAATTGAGGAGAAAAGATAGGAAGATGATAAGGAAATATATAATGTGCTATGAAAATTAGATAGAGGAAAATCCTTCGATTTTACGTGGCTTATTAATAAAGCGCGTGTTTCCCAGTTCCCACTCAAATTGATATAGTTGGGCCAGGGCTTAGGAGGGAGTAAATAAATATAAATGTTTTAACAATAGTAGGGTGTTAGGACACCCGTAAAGTTTAGGTGTGTAAATGATTTTTCAGGACAAGTTAAATGGGGTCTTTATGCATTTTCTCTTTAAACTATTATACTATATAACTTAGGGCGGAAATTTTCTTAAACGCGGTGTTTACACCTACACAATTAATACTTGACACATGTTGTAAAACAATAAAAGAACAAGAGCAATATCGCAGAGAAAGAGAGAGGGGGAATTCTTATTGAATTTTGGGGTGATTACAATAGAGTATAACCCTCTATTTATAGGGAGATGGTGACTTAGCCACCAAGTAATAAACCCTAGAATCTCTCTAAATATGGACATTCACCATAAATAGGATTCTATTTATAACACTCCCCCTGAATGTCTATTCAACAGATAATGTGCCTCGTTAAAACCTTAACTAAAAGAAAACCCAATGGGAAAAAAAAATTCTAGAGAAGGAAAAAAGAGTACACATATCTAATAATACGCCTTTTGGTTGCCTCGTTAAAAACCTTGCAAGGAAAACCCAGTGGGACAAAACCTTGTAAGGGAAAAAGAGTACAACGCGTATTAACTCCCCCTCATGAGAGCATCACTTCACATCCTTAAGCATTTGCATTTCAATCTTGTGCACCATCTTCAAAAGATCTTTGGTAGATATTTGATAAACAAATCAACCATATTAACTTGAATGAATATATTGCACCTTGAAATCATCATTCTTGATAGAGATGGATTGTCTTCATATGATCTTGTTAGAATCGTCAGTTCAATATCTTCACATAGAGGTGAAAACTCTTGCTATCATATTATCATGCATATAGTTATAGCAAGATACATTTGTGCACAAATTGCATTGAGGATGTAGTACTTCATGACCATGAATTCTATATGCTTTAGGCAATTTAAATACTTCAGGGATTGTTAAGTCATATAAGCCATATAATAGACTTTAGATGCATATCAAGTTTTCATGTCATGCTAGACATATAAGATATCGAAAACTGATTGCACATACCATTGACTTTATACTTTCAAGTGTTTGAACTACATGCATGTTCAAAACTACATGTCTTTCATATGAAACCAATTCTATTCGAAATTGTTCACCAGACTTAAGAGCCTCATATATATTTAGCGCTGTCATAGATATCGTCGGCAACATTTTATATCGGTTTCAATATTTTTCATAAAGACATAACATAGAGATCTCTTCATTCATATTTTCAGGTACCTGAATCTCTCTTGAGATTTAATGAAGTATTATGTCAAGTAATCTTCTAGATCACTTGCCTCCTTTATTATGATCATTTTGATCATTTGCTCATCTTCTTTATCAAGAAGTTTATTTGAAACCGATTTGGCTATATGCTTTAAGCGTACCATAGACTTTGTCCTTCTAGGACTTAATATGAGCATTTGCAATGAGAATATAGTTACTTTCTGTGGGTCAGCAAATGCGTCCGGCATGCTTTGCAGTATATTGCACATGAATTATCCTTTATGAACTTCAAGTTCATATTATCTTATTCGAGGATCGAGATGTATAAATAATAATTCATTCCATGTAACTTTTTCTCAACTGTTTATCATGTCTCCCCCTCATGTTAGAAAAGCTAACTTGTTTCCTCAACTTTGAGAACCCATCTTTGTGCGTTATGGTGTTAATCAAAATATACACCGCACATCAATAATAATAAGATGGAATTATTTGGTTCCTGACCCTGAACCACTTTTGAGGGGAGAATGTAATATACTTTCGTATATAACCTATATCAAACTGATATAGATAACTTTGTTCTCATAAGCAATAGTTTAGCTATTAAGTGGAGGCACTCAATAAATCATTTTGCTAAACCAATTGTGATGTAAACCAACTTATCAAGATGAACTTCTTGAATAGAAAATCTGGAAATTATGCTCGAAATTAAATTATTGAGCAAGTTACCTCGCAAACACCATGTTGCGAGTTAATAATAATCGCACATGTAACCATCTCATAGATGCATCTTATGTGGTATACATGGCAGGTGAATGGGCCCATATTCACCTTTGATATTTCCAGCATTCATGGGATTCAATCCCAATTTTAATTGGTCTATTAATTAATGAGAACAAGCAATGTAAAAGAATTCGTAAAGAACTTTCTAGTTCTTTAATATTTACCCATGTGAATTCTCTTTTATTTTTGCACATCATGCTTAAATTGATATGGCTAAACTGATTATGCCAACTAGATAAATTATCAATATTGATAAAGACTAGGTTTACACCATGATGTGTGCAATTATCAATAAACTCCAAGTTTGTTATGATAAGGGTTTTTATATCAATAAATATCCACTTCATTGTGGTATTCTTTTGTTTATGTAGTACAAATTGGAGAATAAAGCGGGTAGCTTTTCACATACATTTACAAGATGTAGTAATATAAGATATTAAATCTTTCCTTTATTTATAGTCTCAATATAATCAACCGCTTTCGCGTATACTTTGGAAACTGAATAAGTTTCTTTGAGACTTACTACAACACAATATCTTATTGGTAATTAATTGTGTTTCTCCAAAATAGTATAATTGGCTCTTGCAGAGTTCTCAATTAATTTTGTAGTACCACATATTCATCAACACCCATATGGTGAATATCTCTTTTAAAGAGAAAGTTATACCATTATGGTTATGGTCAAAATTATATGCAAGATCTGTTTCTTGCATTACCGTTGACTTTTAATAATCACAATGCCAAAATATTTTGGCGTACAATAGGTACGTGACCAATGATCATTCATGCCATAATAATGATATTATTTTCTTATATCATCTCAAACCTCCTTCTGGAGGTGAGTGTGGTATATACAACTAGCACGCTCATATTCTTCCAAAAATGAATATGTATTCTTAAATCAGATGTTGTCACATTCACATCATGAATAGACCATAATCATCTATATGTGCTTTATAAAATCTCATGTCAAATCGATGACAAATATTTTCACAAGTGGGGGATTATCTTGAGAATCCTTATTATTCTCATTATCACAATGATGACGATTATAATTTCGTCTATTGCCACGTCCACATCCATTGATACATTCATAGTGATAATTTTGTCTTCTTTCATACTTATCACATACTGCTATCACATTCTCTTAAAAGAATGAGAATGGAGCAAATTCAATGGGACGGGTTTCCACTTTGTGTGCCCATAATCATACATGAATTTGATCATGTCAAGACATAGAAACTTTTACCACTTCAGGTGGTTATAATTTCTTACAAACTCCATTAGAGTTATAATCAAACTTTGTTGTCTTTGCTTGTATTTAAAATCAAAGTATAGAATAAAAGAGAAAAATACGGTAAAATACTTACCTTAAATCCAGAATTTAATCATGAAGGAAGTTCATGGAATAATTGACAATCATTATGCTCAATCCCAAAGCTTCTACTCAATTGGTTAGAGTGTCGTGCTGATAACGTGTTGTAAAAGAATAAAAGAACAAGAGTCATATTGCAGAGAAAGAGAGAGAGAGAGGGAATTCTTATTGAATTTTAGGGTAAATTACAATAGAGTATAACCCTCTATTTATAGGGAGATGGTAACTTAGCCACCAAATAATAAACCCTAGAATCTCTCTAAATATGGACATTCACCATAAATAGGATTCTATTTATAACAACACAAGTCTTCTAACATTAGTTAATTATTACACATTTTCACGAGTAAGTGTAAGTTTTTTCTCATAACTCTTTTTTGTTTCAATTTACTGATCTCACAAAAGTTAAACTATTACAAATGTATCATTAATGCGGGGAGCAATAGATATTATGGGTCATGAATTAATTTGGTGGTAGAAGTTGGCTACTGTATTTATGAGAATCACCAGCCAATGGCTCTTTCTAGAGCTACTTCACAATTCATATTAATTACAGGCATACAATCATTTCCAAGTTCCAACTACTACTATTCAATCTCTCACCTTACACTTTCCTGTGAGTATTGAAATACTACACCATAATTTCATACAGAGTTTTTTTTTTTTATTTAAAAGAAAGAGTAACCCTACCATCCATAACTTAATTAGTAGTATTTCATTATGGAGCCACCTATATACTTCTTTATTTTCTCCCTTTTCTTTTCATTTCTTCTCTTCTTTTTTTTCAAACAAAGTTCTGCTTTTTAAGTTTTTACAAATTACAACCATTAATTAATATTTGTAAAACAAGCAGCTACGAATTTTCTTTTATCTCCTCACAAAGTTTCTACGTACTAATACGGAATTACTACTAATTTTCTAACATTTGTCGGGACTGAATCCAACGAGGTTGTTAGCCAGGTCATAACTGACACGTGTCCCTTGCTGCTGTATGTTTCCAATAATAGATAGCGACCCTTCCGTCGGAGCAAAAGCCAAGCAGAATTTCCCCGACGAGTCCACCGGTATCAGGTAATTCTTCGGGTGCAACGACAGCGTTTTATCTCCGGTGAAATGGAACGCCACCGTCGGAACAGTCACTTTCTTCATAGACGACAGGTCGTAGCAAGTGTCAAACAGGGCGAATTGCCCGGCGGAAGGCAAATTCTGAGTGAATTTCACGAAGGAATCACGCAAAGCATTGTAAGCGGTGGTCTGTAACCGAGTCACCGCCGTACCGGAGTCCACGATGATCCCGCCATTTCCACTTCCGTCCACCTGGAACACCGACGCTGGAATCGACAACATCTGGCCGCCGACACTGATTCCAGTAAGTCCGACGTAGAAGAAAGTGCTCCTTCTCGAGTTACGGAGTAAGGGAGCAATTACGGAGTCACCGGGCCGTGCCGAGTTAAAATCCAGCGTTGACGACGAAGCAGAGTCACGGTCCACGAAGCAGTAGGAAAACGACAACGCTTTGATTTGAGATGGTAGAGATAAAGTGCCGCCACCTAGAGCAATCAAACCAGCGGCGCCGACGAAGAGTCCTTCATTATCATGGCCACAGCCTATAGCAACTTTAGAGAAAGAACCAGAGTTCCCAAACGACACTGTTTCAGTAGCAAACTCTCCTACGGTAAACGAGCCGTCACCGTACGAGACCTGATAAAGACACGCGTTAGTACCACAAGCGGAGACCTCAAGAGCAGAGCAGTGAGCATCATCACAAGAGACCCGACTGTAAGTGGAAGAACCCGACGGGTTAAAAACTGGATCCGACTGCTGATAACAGTCGGAACACGGCTCACATTGAAGCCACGTGATGTCACTACCAGTGTCTAAAACCATGTAGAATTCCTTAGCCGGTTGGCCAAACCCGAGCCGAGTGAAATACTCGCCGCTGCCCTGACTTGCTCCTGAAGTAATAGGAGTTTGAAGGTCTTCGGGTTGCAACATGGTTTGAACCGGCTTGAGATCAGAATGAGTAAAGTTGGTGAGTGAGAGGGTGAGTTTCATGGTCAGTGAGGAAACTCGAGCCGAGTCACGTTCAAGTCGAGAGAGAGTGAGGGATTCATAGTCCTTATGACGTGGCTTAACTAGAGCTGAACGAGGATAAATTGAAACAGAGATTGAAGAAGAATTAGAAGGGGTACTTCTAATAGCTTCTTGTTGAAAAGTTTGAGAAGTAGGAGACAGAACTTGAACAGTTTTCTTAATGAATTCTGTTACGTCAAAGCTTTGGGAGTGTGGATTTGAAGATGAAAAGGAGCGAGAGAAAGCACAGGGGACGAAAATAACAGAGATAAGAAGAAGGAAAAAGAAGCAAAATTGGGCCATTTTTTGAGGAAATGGAAGAATGAAAGGAATGGAGAAGAAAAGAGAAGAAGAAGTGGATATAAGTAGAAGGAGAAGGAGGGGAAAGCCGAAAGGGAAGGGAAAAGAAAGAGAGGGAGGGGGCTCACGTCAGACTTGTTGAATCAAAACAAAAGCATTTAAAACAGAGAAAGAAGCTTGATACCTGCTCTCTCTTCTACAACTATAAAAGAAGAGAAGATATTGCTACCATTAATTATTGCTTTTCCTCTTCTTTATTAATCATTTTTGTCCTTATTCTTTTCCTCTCCCCTTTTTTTAATTATATGGTATTAATTATTTCATATAAGTAGCTAGATTATTCAGCTCCATTTGTGTTTTAGATTAAAGCTGTCAATGTTGTCCAATAAGAGGTCGTTTGGTAGCTGGTTAGAAGAAAGGTTATTCATGTATAAGGGGTAACATAACTTATATCATGTTTGGTAGGCAATAATTATTTTGTATAAAATTCTGCATAACTAATACCATGATTGGTTGACATTTTTCAATTATGCATAAATAATACATGTATAAGTTATGAGTCAATCTGTGTATTATTTTATGCGGGGTAGAAGATGGAATAACTAATACATGTATTAGTAATACATGGATAAAATACTGAAATGACAAATTTACCCCTATCACTTTACACATAAGGCTTCCTTATTTCTCTGCCAACCCGTCAACAGGTTTCACTTGCTTTCACTTGCCAACTATATACCTTGTCTTCTCTCATTTTTAAAGAACAAACTAGCAAAAGCAAACTGGAGAAGCCACTAGAAAATGGAAATACCAAAACTAAGAAGTGAAAATCAAATATGTCTAAACTTCACATAGTTCAGTAGTATATATGACGAAGAAGTGAAAGTAACACCCAAAGTTCCTAACTAAATTGTTTCCTACATAAATGGAAAGAGAGAAAAAACAATGCAAAAGAAGGCCAGGGGTATAGTTGTAAACAAGCATTTTACTTTAAAATTTATATAATGTATATCAATTTCTAATACAACAAACCAAACATTCAAAAAAATAATCTCTGCATAACTAATACCTGCATAACTAATCCCTGCATTACTTATTCCTGCATAACTAATCCCTGCATAACTAATACATGTATAACTAATACCTGCATAACTCTAACCGGTAACCAAACGACCCCTAAGTGTATATTTCACCTAAACCCGTTCAAAGGTTAATGTACTCGTTGGTGTAACCGAAATCCATCCTTCCAAAACATTGAGTCAAGTCAACTCGGTTATGGTACTACTACAAATCATATCAATAAGAGAGTTTGTAAACATAGAATAAATATTTACAAACAAATAGTTAAAATGGCAAAACCTTTTTTTTGTATAACAATTATATTTTAAGTAGGTCCGTTTTGTAATTAAATATTAGAAAAGATCCAAACAAATAGAATAAAAACTCTAGTTGTGCAAGAAGATTATAACCCATTTCTCACCCATATTTCATAATAAATATTTAGAAAAATCTTCCTACCTTTTCCCCTTTAAATGTTGAGGTGAGTGTATGGTGCTGGATTTTATCCATTGCTCTGCATCTTGCAAGTGTAGTTGGCAAATTAATTACACGGCTACTACTCTATCCATTGTTACGGCGGGTAGTTAGAGCAATCAATACTTGAAGTTGGCTATATATAGTTGCTACACAAAAAAATTCACTCTCGTTGGATCCGTTGTTTACATGAAAATTATTAAATATGATATCAGTATGTTAGAAAAAACTTTGGCTACTATAACTTAAACATGCGAATTACTATGTATTTCTTACCTCAATTTAGCATATAACGATGACAAATTGATGTGATGTGATATAATACTTATATAGATAAGTATTTAATTATATTAAAGCTTTGTTTGGGAACTGCAGCAAAGACATTCTTTGTCAAGAAACCAATGACATGGTGCGGTATTAATTTCTATACTACACCTATAAGCAGTTCGATCCTCCATTACAGCTACATAATTAACTTTCTAAAAGTAACATTTGATCCTTCTCCTTTGCGAGATTGTTATGATTATTGAATGCAAATAATTTTAATGGATATGGCCATATGATGACATCTCATCAGGACCAGGTTCTCCCGTATGGTTTATGATATTACGTCTACCTTCCTTATCTTAATTTTTTCATAACTATTGTTTTTACCTATTTATTATTAATATAAAATATTACAATTTGACTTATTTGCCTTTTTAATATTAGACTCTTCTAATTAATTTTATTAAATATCTTAATCAACCAATTCTTTAAGGGGTCGTTTGGTACGCAGACTAAATTATCCCGAATTATAATCCCAGGACTAATTTATACCATGTGGGAGGTGGGATAAAATAATCTCAAGTTTGATGGGATAAGGTGGAATAGGATGGGATATCCTGGATTAAGTCGGCAATTAAATTTATACCGTTTTTGGTTGGAAGTGTAAATTTCCCACCTTATTAAGAATTCAATATTAAACGCATTCTTCAGTAACTAGCATAAAATGCTTTGTCCTAACACTCACGCCAGAAGGTAAGTCCTTCTACTCTTTCTTCTATTTCTAGTAATACAAAACACAAAAACTTCAACGAGAGCAAAAAAATTCACATAGGTGATATCCATTTGTTGGGATTAAAATGTAGGAGTGGCAAACGATTTAGTACGGAATGAATAAAATCGACTTGGATAGAAGGGAATAGAGATAGAGGATGCATATTACGGATTGACCCAACTATTCCGGATTGAGGCATAGTTGATTAATTGATCGATATATTTCCAGTATACAAACTCATTGATCTGCGGTGCTGACATTGTTTACGGGTAATATGATCTAGAGGTAATGAGGTACTTACTATTCCATTCTCAACATTTATGTACAATATCTATGCAAAGTGTAGCCTCCACCGATCAGGTTCATTTTTTTCAACAACCTCCACTGGCAGGCTCGATGGAGCTTAGCAGACCATTGCCTCTTAGCTGCGTGCAATGCTCTTCTGCATCAGCTTGAGCACAGATTATTACCACCGCAAGACCATTGTAATGTGCCTCTTGCATGATATTAACAGCATTGTCCACCGTCATCCCTGGTATAACCTTCATGAGTACTTGAACTACATACTCCCTCTTGTTGTAGTTGTCATTGTGCAGCATCACACGATAGGGCGGGGACATCTTCCTTGATTTTCTGCAAAAGGAAGACAAAAATTATAGTACTAATAGATAGTTACTCATTGCATTTTCTTTGTACATAAAGTTTTATTAATCATACATTTCGCCCAGAAGGTAAAGCAATGCAACCAGATACCTACATGCAGTTCTCTTGATATGCAGTCTCGTCACCAGGATTTTTTTTTTTTAAATTTAAAAAAATAAAGTAATGTAATCGTCAAAAGGAAAGCTTCTGGTCTTCTTTGGGGTCTGAGCCATATTCAACTCTTTTATAACTTATCCATGAGAAATAAACGATAAATACGACCTCTGTGCTTAGTGTGAGATATATTGGTCTTCTTGCCTAAAGGAAAATTCTACGGTGCTCCCTAAAGAAAGTACTCCAGATTTGTGTTTGTAGATAGATTGTTCATCTTTACAGCAATAACCATTATTTGGAAACTGTTGCTCTGTTTCTTCTCTTGAATTGCTGCCAATTTTGTTATCTTTCTCCTCTTTGTTCCCTTCCCATCTTCCTCCTTATCCCTGTTGTACAGAGTATTTACACGTCACCTTAACAACAACCAAGCAATGTCTGTGCAACGTACAACACTAAGAGCCCCGCACATGTCTATGGTGCTTGAAGATCACATGATTGTTCAGGGAGTTGAAAATTCATTTTTCTGTTTTAAAAATTTAAGCGTTCTTCTGATTGGAGCCCTGCCTCCTGACAGATATCACATGAGCTGTGGTTTTTAAACATGTGACTGGTGTTGGGTAAAATAGGTTACTAGAGGTGAAGGCTGGATGCTGTGGTGGTTGGAGTTTGGAGTTTGGAGTTTGATAGTCCATTTTGCTTGATAGTATGCCAGTTTGCAAAGACCATATAAAGAGGATGGAGAGCGAAGCATTGAAAGTCTTTGTCTAAATTAGATAAGAAGGATGGAATGACCTCAAATATTTGACATATAGCAGCCCAGTTCCCATATCAATAGAAAGCATTTGAGGGAGTTATTGTTTTTTCAAAAGCATTTCAGGGAGTTATTGTTTTTTCTTTTTACTTAAGGGAAATGTAGTTTCGCGGAAGGAAGTAGTAACAGGTCCGCCGAACGGGAATATAGCAACTAAAGAATGAACAGACACACGTGGTTGTATATATGGATGCGACTCCAACATGATAAGCATGCCCGGGTGCTTCCTTTCACCAATCGTACATAAAGAAGAGAGAAGAAGTTCTTTTCCCTTTTCTCTTTGGAGAAGGGTCAGGAAGAGAGAGGGGATGATCATCTGAAGTTACAAGGCTGGAGTTAGTATTACTTAACTTTAATTAATGTCTAACTCTAAAGAGCTCTTATGACCGACAATTTATTTCGTTGTCTACATATGGGCACGGTTCCAGTTTTCAAAGAAAAAGAGAAGAATAAACTGTTATCCATGGGAAGTAGTTAGATGTCTCCTGATGGAAACCACATCCGCGTGAAAGAGAAGAATAAAAAGAATTTGGACTCATGAAAGAACAATAAAGCCTTGAGTCAGTCGAAACAACACGTTACTTCAGATTTGAGGAATCCATACCTCAAGTCAAACTCAGATTCACGCCCAGGAGTTGTTTTCTCTATAACAGGCTTCTCCAACACACCACCTTTGCCTACTCCTGCTATAGGCATTGCCATTAATGTGTTCCGATTTCTCCATTGTTTTTGACGAGGTTTCGTATCTCCTGTATCAAATAACCCCCAGATAATTAAATTTTATGCCAAATTACAAACATGTGTGAGTAAACATTCATAAAGAACAAAGTGGTAATTCATCAGTTCTCCATCATATAAACACAAATTCTAATTATCTATACATTAGATACAAAGTAATTTACTACTGAGTGAATTGATACTCTTAAATAATACTAGTCATTAAATCCATGATATCTCGAAATCAATACGTTTCTCTTAGACCAACTGCATACTTCACTAGTTTCAAATGGAAGTATGTTCAATAGTTTCTAAAAGCATTAATGACTAGGTTTAACGATGATTGGCTAGCAAAAGATGCAGATAAAAAATCAGCCCTTCAACTTGGACTTTCATGCTTCTCTCACATATTTCAGACCTTTCTAGTAAAGAACGCAGTCCCATTTCTTCCCTAGTAAAAATTCAAAGTTCAATTTTACTCTTTATTGAAGCTGTTATGAATGTCTCAGGAAGATGAATATCATCAAGAACCCTATCTCTACACCCCCTCCACCCCCCACCCCACCCCAAGCTCCCAATTGACACTCTCTTTTCCTGTATTGGAGTGTCTACTGGTACTTTAGGGTATTCACTAGATATTGGGGTTTTTAAATCAAGTTCAGACAGTAGCCTTTTCTCTCTTTTTTCACTCTAAAGTTAAGAATCCACGAACTCCACCTCAGGAAAACAAGAATAATCCATAAATTTTCAAACAAAATGAGGTCCAGGAACATTCAACAAAACTAACTACGCCAATTAAAATTGCTATTATTGGAAAGAACGAGCAATTCTTGGTGAAACACAATAAAGATTCAATAAACAAACAATTAACGTATTTTAGAGAGAGAAAGATGAGTGGTTTACCGGGTTTTGGTTGGAAGATTTGATGGGGAGAAAGAGCAACTCGGCCACAAATGGCTGTCTCCATTACCATAACTCCTCTCTCTCTCTCTCTATCTCTCTGTTTCTCTCACCAAACCACACAGCACCACTACTAATACTACTGACTTCTGATTTTAAAATCTACCACAAATTTCTTCTATTTTTCTTTTTCACCTGATAATTTGTATAATAACTGCTAAATAAGAAGAAAATTAAATGAGTGGTCGGTACTATAACAGTCGATCAAGATTCAAATCCTTCACACATATGGAAAGCAGACACGTATCGGCTAGGTGAAATCAGCACCATTTATCTCATTTAGTCAATACCCTTTTAAAAATATGCTCACGCTTCAATTCTTTTTTATATTGCCGTCACATAATTATCTTTTTATTTTAATTATTTACGTAACCAACTATTGTATAGGTCAAAATCTGACCAAATGGTTATTATTAAAGGAAACGGTAAGAGGTCGGCCAAGCCATGGTCGTGTCCACGAGGCGTAGTGGTGACGAGCATCTCGGCTGCTGTCGAGATCAGGCTATCAAAAGGCTTACACGGAAGAACGTAACATATGGGCGTGTAAGGAAGGAGTATGGCCATGAGATGGCACACTGGTTAAGAACCGTTGGCCGTTGGGTAAAAGGGGAAATGGGCTATATATATAAGGAAGGTCAGGCAGAAGAAGAAAAAAAAGAGAAACCGAAAAGAAAACAGAGAAGACATAGAAAAGGTCTCTTGGGGGCAAGAAGAAGGAGGAGGAGGAGGAGAAGAAGAAGAAGAAGAAGAAGAAGAAGAAGAAGAAGAAGAAGAAGAAGCAGCAGCAGCTCACGTTCAGGATTGCAAACCTGTGCAATCCCCTTCGTTGAATCAATAAAGCTAAATCTGATAGTCATCAACAATAATCATACTTTATCCTCTTTGTTTCTACAAATACGAAACGATATGCTGAAGTTGTAAGATTACCATTTACATTTAAGGTATTCCATTCCATCTGAGATTTGTTATATAAATTCAACCTCTTGGATTTCAACACTCATGGTGCTTAGATCTAGAGTAGATTATCTTTGTCTAAGATTTACCCTCTTTTCATCATTAATTGATTTAATCAAAGAGCTTAACATTTTTTGGTCAAATAATTTGGCGCCGTCCGTGGGGATTTCTTAGCCAAATTCTTTAGTTTCCTTTAGATCTAAAAACCAACCAGGTATTACTTCCGGGCTGCTTCAACTTCACCATCTCGGTGACAACGCCAACCTAAAAAGAGTAGCAGATAAGTTCTTGAAATAAACGTATCAATCTAGGTCAGGTCTCTACACAAAATAAAAATCATGACCGATGTCTATACAGAACCATGCCCCACCCATAACGGTAGGCTTAGCGGGTCATATGCACGATTTAAGTAGAACCATGGTCGCTATGTGCTTGGCATAACCGCGATCCCACGCGGTGTATACACCCTGTATACTGACCTGTACCTTCACCCCTGAGGAAGGGATGATAACCTACCGCATGACCCCTTGAAACACCAGGCATGTCCCGCATTAATTTCATATCACGTATGCTGGATGATTTAAAATCAAAGCATGACATGTTTCCCTTATCGTTTACGCATATCGGACTGGGACTCATCCCCGATATCCCAATGGGTGAGGTAATCCCAACACACAGGAAGCCTAGACGTAGTTAGACGGCGAAGCTAAATGTGGCTGCCAAATCTAAAACCGCTATTCAAGTACTAGGCGGAGCGTGTCACCCTACAACGCCGCTTCTCCCTTCACCGGCTTGCTAGGCCGAGGTAACAGACAATCATTTTGGTTTTTCACTCTTTTTGTTTCGAAACAGGAACGCGAGCACTTGCATAGATATGCAAACAAGGGGCAAACGCCGCTAAAACACCCCAGAAAATGGTTCCATAGCATGCCATCTTGCAAGGAATGACCGAGCGAAACCCCCCAAGCCGCAGTATATCATAAATAACGGAAATGGCACAGTACAGATCAACTATCGAAAAACAATCTCCAGTAAAAGCAAAATTGAGCAAAGTGGGACTCTCCCGTAAAACACGCAGCATTCTCCAATAAAAGCAAAATTGAGCGAACTGGGACTCACCCAGGAAAAAGCACAATACTCTCCAAATGAAAGCGAAATTAAGCGAACCAAGATTTGCCCCGATGCACATGTAAACAACACGGCGACGAGTAATGCTCCCCAACGGAGATAGTACAACGGGTTAAAATTTCGACATTGCTCGAAATAACACCCCTACGGCCATCGGCCTTCGCCAAAAGAGAATTCGACCTCACTCGAATCTACAACAAGTTAAAATTTTGACCTTGCTCGAAATACCACCCCTACGGCCATCGGCCTTCGCCAAAAGAGAATTTGACCTCGCTCGAATCTACACCGGGCTAAAATTGCGACCTTGCTCGAAATAACACACCCACGGCCTTCGCCAAAAGAGAATTCGACCTCGCTCGAATCTACACCGGGTTAAAATTTTGACCTTGCTCGAAATAACACCCCTACGGACATCGGCCTTCGCCAAAAGAGAATTCGACCTCGCTCGAATCTACACCGGGTTAAAAATTTGACCTTGCTCGAAATAACACCCCTACGGCCTTGGCCAAAAGAGAATTCAACCTCGCTCGAATCTACACCGGGTTAAAATTTCGACCTTGCTCGAAATAACACTCCTACGACCATCGGCCTTCGCCAAAAGAGAACTCGATCTCGCTTGAATCTACAACGCGTTAAAATTTTGACCTTGCTCGAAATAACACCCCTACGGTCAACGGCCTTCATCAAAAGAGAATTCGACCTCGCTCGAATCTACAACGGGTTAAAATTTCGACCTTGCTCGAAATAACACCCCCCTATGGCCATCGGCCTTCGCCCTAACATCATCAAGATTGATGTCGGATTCTGACTCGTACTCATCAACCATGACGCCTTTTCCCATCTCTTAGGCCGAATAAGAAGCAGGGCTCGACCGGGATGTAGAAGGGCCGCCAGGGACAGCGATGGCAGCCTCGGGACTCCGTCTCTCCGCCGTACCAGCCTGTAGATCGCTTATAACGGGCGTAGCCTCTGCGGCCGGGTTGGCATAATCGCCGGCTTCGGGCACCGCCAAGGCAGGGTCGCCCCTCACGGATGTTTCAGCTTGAGGATTCATTTCTAACACCACCTGTTGCCTCTTCGACGGGGTCTCTCCACTACCGGCGCGGGAAGATTCGCCCACTAAACGAACAGTAGGAACCGGAGTCTCTGGCTGAGGAGTTGACTCCGCATGAACGTTTACGGCTGCCGACGCGGATTGGATAGTTGCTCTCAGCGCCTGCCGGGCAGCGACTTTTGGCGTAGGTCGGGCAAGGGGCGCCAGCTGATGAAATGCGAGCGGAGGAGCCCTCGTCCTTCGTACCCTCCCTTTTGACAAAGAAAGATGATCATATAGCGGCAAGGCCAAAACATGAGGCAAAGAATGAAGCAAAAATTGCAGCGGGCCGACTCACCAGTGAGAGGCTTACGCCTATATTTCTCATGGAAGGACGCCCACTCACGAATCCCCATTGTATGGGGGAGAATTGCGCTCACCCACTCGCGGATATCGTCAGTTAGCGGGGGAGAAAGTCTCTTAGTTGCAAAGGTAAAAACAAGTCTTTAACAACATCACCTAAAAGAGAATGATCGACGACCGCTGTAAAGGGAATCACAAAATAAATCGAAGGAAACTTACGGGCGAAATTCCACGTCTCTGGAAACCCTGCCGAATTCGCCACAAGATGCTCCGTCCGCACATAGAAGTAGCTCGCCCAGAAGCGGCGATTAGCCTTATCGTCCATCTTCACCACCAAACTCTTTGTTCCTCGATGGCGCATATGGATCATTGTACCCCGAAGAAAACGAGGGGCAAAGATGTGAAGCATGTGCCCCAAAGAAATTCCTCGTCCGGCAAGCTCCGCGTACTTAATTAGCATGACGAAGAGTTTGTACACATACGGGGATAGCTGAGCCGGGCACACTTCGTAGAAGCGACGGAAGTCTACCAACAGAGAGGGAAAAGGAAGCGTGTACCCGATAACAAAGGGGTACGCGTAAAACGCGCAGTACCCCTGGCGGTGCAATGAACAATATCCTTCCCCCGCCACCGGTACCATCTCGATATGAGTAGGGATTCCCCACTTGGCCTTGAGCGCCGTAATCGCCACTTCATCCATGGTGGAAGGGACAGGTTCCGGTTCGTCTCCGGCAAGGCTGTTGAAGTCAGTCCTTAATTTCCACGGACGGGGTAGTATCTCATCCACTGTCGGAAATCCCTCGTCTTCCGCCACCTCCATCCCCTCTTCAAGAAGGGGTACGTCATTTTCCGGCACCGGAGCTTCGACGAATCTATCGGTCTGGGAAGAAGTACCAGCCATTTGTTTGTCTTGATCGAAATAAACAAGAATGGTAAAAGAATAGAAAGGATGGTCACGTCAAATTCCGACGAAAGCAGAAGTATGAAAAACTAAGAAAGGTGGAAGTTTTTAAAATTCTCTCTGATAAATTGAGAGCATACCAATCAAATGGTGGATTCCCCCTATTTATAAGAGCAGAAATGTCCTGAGAGGGAAACTCGAGAGCCGTCAATCAGAAAAATCGAAAGGGCACAAGAAACGATACGGTGTTTGGGAATCGTGCGTCATAATGACGCATAATGGGCATTCATGGTACCCTGAATCGACGTAACGATCCATCTCCAAACTAACACGACGGCTCGGTAAGGTCATTGAAGCATCACATCGTCGCTTAGCCGTAAGGACCCCATCCTCGCATAATGTCCAAATTTCTCCTAATTCTAGAATCGACTGGATTCGCCCATAGAGTTCGCCATAAGACGACCCCAACGGGCGGAGGGACTAACTGTATAGGTCAAAATCTGACCAAATGGTTATTATTAAAGGAAACGATAAGAGGTCGGCCAAGCCATGGTCGTGTCTACGAGGCGTAGTGGTGATGAGTATCTCGGCTGCTGCCGAGATCAGGCTATCAAATGGCTTACACGGCAGAACGTAACATATAGGCGTGTAAGGAAGGAGTACGACCATGAGAAGGCACGCTGGTTAAGAACCATTGGGTAAAAGAGGAAATATATATATATATATATATATATATATATATATATAAGGAAGGTCAGGCAGAAAAAGGAAAAAAAAAACCGAGAAGAAAACAGAGAAGACATAGAAAAGGTATCTTGGGGGCAAGAAGGAGGAGAAGAAGAAGAAGAAGCAGCTCACGTTCATGATTGCAAACCTGTGTAATCCCCTTCGTTGAATCAATAAAGCTAAATCTCATAGTCATCAACAGGAATCATACTTTATCCTCTTTGTTTCTACAAATACGAAACGATATGCTGAAGTTGTAAGATTACCATTTACATTTAAGGTATTCCATTCCATCTGAGATTTGTTATATAAATTCAACCTCTTGGATTTCAACACTCATGGTGCTTAGATCTAGAGTAGATTATCTTTGTCTAAGATTTACTCTCTTTTCATCACTAAATTGATTTAATCAAAGAGCTTAACACTTTTTGGTCAAACAACTATATCGTTGGAAAAAAATATTTGGCTGGAAATAATGTATAGTTCTCTTCTCTCTTTCAACTTATCATTCTAACCCTTTGTAGCACAGGCCATTTTTTGTACAAGGATGAGCTATCATCCTTCTTGTTTCACAGGTGAAAAAAGAATATGTATTCCTAATGCTTTATATGTCACATTTTTTTATTTTAGGACATCCAAATTGTTTGATATAATTCTGCAAGTACTTCATTCATTTAACTTGTAATCTTTTTGATAATTATAGTGTCCGACCAGTTTGTCTGCACCTTGATTAATTCAATGGGATACTTGTTACCTTTCATCAGCAACAGAAAGCAAGTAACTTTATCCACCAAGACTTGTATAGATGAGAAGGAATTACCTAATATTTTTTTCTTCGTTGGGATTTGAACTTGAGACCTCGTGGTTCTTAGTGCTCATACTTTCATCAGATTAACTTTATAATCATTATTTTAATATGTTAATACTAAAATAAATAATTCAAAACAATACATTCTCATATTCAATGATAAAACTATATAAAATAGCACGAAAGGAGTAATTTTTTTCCAACCATACAACTTATAGCCCATTTAGCCAAGCTCCTAAAATCAGCTTATTTTGAGAAGTGCTTTTCTCAAAAGTACTTTTTAAAAAAGTGCTTTTGGTGAGAAGCAGTTTGTGTTTGGCTAATTAATTTGAAAAGCACTTTTGAGTAGTAATTAGTGTTTGGCCAAACTTTTGAAAACTGCTTCTAAGTGTATTTTTCTCAAAAGTGCTTAGAAAAGTGCTTTTGGAGAGAAGTTACTTTTTTCTGCTTCTCCAAAACTGCTTCTGCTTCTCCTCAAAGACACTTTTTTACCTTCCAAAAGCTTGGCCAAACACCTCAATTTTTGGCCAAAAGTGCTTTTGACAAAAAAAAAAAAGCACTTTTGGCCCAAAAAAAAGCTTGGCCAAAAAGGCTATTAGATTGGCGAAAGGCTAGAATGCTAGCCTTATAAATACTAGTACTATATTGGTCAATTATCAGAATTAAGTGAGAAAATAAATCATTTAACACACGTCACACATTTATTAATGGTCATGATACTAGTAACTTTTCTCCAATAAAAAAGCTTGCTTTACATTAATAGAACGTGAAAAAAGAAAAAAGAAAAAAGAAAAGGCGCCCCTTGATGCGTGGTCTCATAACGACCTTTGGTCACTGTGGCGCTTAACCACTCACCGTCCTCGGCTTAACCGGTCGATTCATAGTTACGCTCTTTCCTATGGGCTGCTGCAGTGCCGGTTCCCCGTGGCTAACCACGCCCAGTCTAATCAGCAACGCCGCCACTCGCAGCTTTCGGCCTATATTCAGCTTATGCTGTATTAAGTTCCCTCGTAATTACACCTCTTCGCCGACGGCTTCCTACAGCCGGCGGTGGTACAACCCTGAACGTCGCAGACAGCTCAGTCCAGCACCGGACATTATCCGCCATTGGGTGGAAGGAGATGCTCTTTCCACTGTTCCACCTCAAGGTCAGTCCCTTTGGTCAACTAACTGCATGTTGTTTGTATTTTTTGTTAATGCTGAAGTTTGATTTAGTGTTGGAATTTGGTGTAGCAGAAAGGTTTACCGTTGTTTCGTATAACATATTGGGAGACAGGAATATTTCGAAACATGGAGATCTCTACAGAAATGTTCCTTCGAATTACTTAGATTGGGACCATCGCAAAAGAGTTATTTGTGAAGAACTCCTCGGACTAAATCCTGATATAATTTGCCTACAAGTAATTACAATTGCCTCTTGCGTATTAATATTTTTAAATATGTCCATGTTTTGGATATGAAGCTAATTGAAGAATTCTATTAATGCGATTGATTAGGAGGTGGACAAGTATTATGATCTACTAAACGTTTTGGAGAAAGCTGGTTATCTCGGCTCCTATAAGGTTACTCCACTCTAAACCCGCCAGCCTCCCTCCAAACTGAAATAAGTGGAAAATTGTATCATCATTCATTATAAGACTTGCTGTTGGAAAATATAATAATGTGTTACTTTGACCATGGTAGAGGCGCACGGGCAGTTCTGTTGATGGCTGTGCTATGTTTTGGAAAGCTGATAAGTAAGTGCTATAAGTAAATATTGTACCTCACAGTTAGTACCTGGATCATTTTGCTTGTTTGGACTGAAATGAGTACTTGCTCATGCCAGGTTTCAGTTGTTAGAGGGTGAAAGCATTGAATATAGGCAGTATGGTCTCCAGGATAATGTCGCTCAGCTCTCTGTTTTTAAGGTAGCAGTTGTAAATTACAATTTTCTTTTACCTACTGTAATTTCATATAGCCTGTAGATGTGACAAGCAGGGACGAAGCTACATTCACTTAAGGGTGGTCAATTGACCACCCTTCGTTGAAAATTACACGGTATATACAGGTAATATATTAAGTTTTAGAGGTATATAACATATGTTGAACACCCTTTGTCGGCAAATTTTTTTCACTTTATTCAAGTTTAGACACCCTTGGAAAGACCAGTGAGAGTGATGAAAGAATGCTCAAAATCCGGATAATCCATGAGATGGGGTTCAAATATGTAAAGTAGATATAAGACGAAGATAACCAAACTAAAAACATGAGATAAACTGGACGACAACCTAAACATAAGCAATTAACTAGTGCTCAGTGGTTGATCTAAAGCTCCTCAGGCTTCACGTTCTGTGGAATATGCATATGTGACAGCTAGTGGCTTAAGACCTCTTATCCAAGACTTCCTGCTTGCTTAGCAGTGCAGATCACTTCTAATAGGTCAAGCTTTGAACCAATTTGAACTATGCAGGTAGTTAAGATCTGGAGCATTTGATTTTGCTTATCTCTGTAAGCATGTCTCTACTATTCTGAACTGGATGTTTCTTCTGATTTCATTTCCCAGAGTGATTTGTCCAGATCACAGTTTTTTCTTAGTTTCATTCTTATTTAATCATATCTCTTTCGATTTTGTATGTCTAACTTCATCTGGTACAGACAGATGCGTGAAGCCCAGTCAAGGAGGCTAGTAGTTGGGAACATTCATGTGCTATATAATCCAAGCCGTGGAGATGTTAAGCTTGGTCAAGTAATATCCTGCATTCTGAGTTAACTCTCTATTTTTTGCATTTTAATATTTGATTGGCAACTGACCTTACATGGCAATTTACCTTGACAAGGTATAATAGTTAGACAAAGAACACTAGCATGTCCAAGGGATGGAAATCTCCCTTTGTGTTTTAAGCCTAAACTGCTTGTTCTGATGCATGTTTTAGTAATGCAAATTACATTGGCCACTAATTGTTATAAACACTAGAATTTTTTGAAAATGCATATTTCCATGCACATATAGTAATTCCTTCTATTTTTTGAAAATTTTGTTTGATGGGATTAAATTTGTCTTCTGTTCGCATATTGAAATTTGTTGCTGGAGGTTTCTGGATCAAATGGCTTTCAAATTGTCTCAAACTGGAAGAGTGCATCCTATCTGGTTATTAGAAAATTCAAGTGAAATATAAATGGAAAAATCAACTTGTCAAATAGTTGTTCTCCATAGCTCTTACTGCTTAGGTACATGGGTAGAGTGTCTCTTATTCATTTGGACTTCAATCCTGTTTCCATCTGCATACCACTTGACATCTGAACAGTCTCTCTTTGTAAAGAAAGACATTTTCTTAACCTTTTTTCATGCAAGATGGTAAAATAGGTGTGCTACATTGTGGTAACCGGATTCTAGCTCTTGCTACAAAATGGATGTTTTTCCTCTTCTGGTAGCATGCTTAACTTTAGACATAAACTGTTTAAGTTCCCCAACTGTCAATATATTGAGGAGTGGTGCAAATGATTTCAATTTTCCTTCAGTTGTCTCCATGCTGTTACTTTTTTGCTGAATATTCTTCCTTCAGATTCGCTTTCTTTCATCAAGGGCTCACATACTTTCAGAAAAGTGGGACACTGCACCTATTGTGCTTGCAGGTGATTATAACAGCACTCCGCAGGTGTGGATCACTGAAATTTATCTTCAAAACTCACTTTGCTGGAACAATTCTTATTTGTTTATCCCTTGTGACAGAGTCCAATCTACAAATTCTTGTCATCATCTGAGGTAATATGCAGACCCCAATTCAGCATCGGTTGATGCAATATTAAGTTACTTCTTAATTCATATGAACTGCATGCTTTTTGGAGGAGTTGTTTGCTTCTCATAGGATTTGTTATTTTATATTGCAGCTCAATCTCATGCTACATAACCGAAGAGAGTTATCTGGTCAGAGACAATGCCATCCCTCTCAAGTTCTTGGTCTTAGAAGAGAAAAGGGGATTTTGTTTGTTCTAATGGACAGGTGAAGCTTAGATCTGTCAGTACTTATTATGTCTTTCGAAAGTCTATGCGCTCCTATAAATTCCGATAGCTAGAGTGTACATAGCAGTGTTCATAAAACCTAGGGGGCCATAAGTTGCTTCCGTTTGTGTTTCATGAGAAAATAATGTGGTGTTTTCTAAGAACGAATTTCTTCTCTATACCTCATTCTCTCTCAACTTCACTATACCGTATGGTCAAACTCTTGATACTTTAAAGTAAACTAGCCTTTTTTGTAAGGGAAAGTAAACTAGCCATTTACACAAGGCTTAGAAACTTGATGGAAAAAAAAGAAAATAAGACATGCAAATAACTCCTCTAACTATTTATTTTTTGATAAGAAAAGAGGGATGCAACACGAGGACTTCCAGGGGGTCACCCGTCCTAGTACTGCTCTCGCCCAAGCACACTCCTGTGACTATTTATTACGTTGGTTGTCGTTGCATTTATTTGGGGTCGACTATTAATGCCCTTAAAAAATTCTCTGAGTGTGTTGTATTCTTAATGTGTTGATATTTGAGATTTCTGATGTCAATTTGTTTACTTTTGAGAAAAACTGAATTCTTTGAATTTTCGTGTGATTCTGATTTAGAATTTGTTGTGTGCATGCAATTGACTTCAGATTCTTGAATTCTAGCTGGAGCGAAGAGGAGATGAATGTTGCAACTGGCGCTCCTAAATCTCACATAGCTTTGCACCCTTTGAAGCTAAACAGTTCTTATGCAATGGTGAAGGTACGACTTGTCCTTTTTACCCACAGTTGACATTTTTTCCCTATGTATATTCCTCTTAGACAGAATGCTACCTCTTCCTTTTTCTTAGGGATCTCAAACAACAAGGGGTGACAATGGTGAACCACTAGCCACATCTTACCACTCGAAGTTTCTGGGAACTGTCGATTATTTGTGGTACTAATGCTGTAGATACTGCTACTTATATTTTTCTGCTAACTTTAGTGACAGGAGTAAGCACTAATAGTAAAATCCACCACAATGCAGGTATTCTGATGGTCTTGTAGCCACAAAAGTTTTAGATACTTTACCAATTAATATTTTGAAGGAAACAGGTGGTCTTCCCTTCAAGGNGAAAACGCTCTGATCTCCTATGAGAAAATTCCCAATTCTCCTTTTGGGCTTCAACTCTCACATAAAGTTCTTGTTTCGACAATTCAAAAGTTGGAGAAGGTTTTTTTACAATTAAACCGATATTCAAAATCATTCCATTCAGGATCTTTTAATCTGTCAAAACGTCGGATTTCTAAATTTTCGTAAGGCCCTCCTGGAATTCCTTCCAGAGCCTGTTGAATAATCTTTATGGATTCTGTCATTTCACCGATTCGTACTAAATAACGAGCTAATGAATCCCCTTCTCGTTGCCATTGAACCTGCCAATCAAATTCGTCGTAAGACTCATAATGATCAACTTTACGAAGATCCCATTCTATTCCGGAAGCTCGTAGCATTGGTCCCGATAAACCCCAATTTAATGCTTCGAAGTAAGCACTAATAGTAAAATCCACCACAATGCAGGTATTCTGATGGTCTTGTAGCCACAAAAGTTTTAGATACTTTACCAATTAATATTTTGAAGGAAACAGGTGGTCTTCCCTTCAAGGTATTATCCTTCTGATATAGTACCCTGAAGCTGTTAACTAGGACACATCAGATTTGGCCTAAGACATGACTAAGGTTGCAAAACATAAAGTATTGTGCTAGAAATAGATTCCTCCAACTTATAATGAAAAAAATAGTGAATTTGGATTTGTTTGCTTTACCTATAAAATATTCAGGCGTTTGATTGCACGTTTGGAATAAGGTCGTCCTGCAAGGAGCCATAGCGAGTCCTTTGGTTTCCCAAAACCTTGTCGCAACATCTTTGTTTATACTGAAGCATTAAACTTGTATTTTATATGCTGGAAAAGGAGCTGGAAGTAAATTGCAATTCTCTCGTGTTAATAATTAGAGCTTGCACCATATATATATATATATATATATATATATATATATATATATTTCTTTTTTAGTGAGCGAGCTCAAATTTCAACGCTGTTCTTGTATAAAAAAAAGTAAAAGTAGCACATTAGTTTCTTTGAGTTTGTGTGAATTTTGAAAAAATAATTAAATTATTGAAGAAAATAGAGTGCCCGGGGGGGGGGGGGGTGTACAAAAAATATGAGAATTTTGGGGAGGGTGGGTTAAGGAGAGTAGCATAAAAAATATCTTCCTAAAAAAGTATTTTATACTCTTTAACCAATTAGAAAATATTTTTCATTCACAACCAAATAAGGGAAAATAAGTGATAAAATCACTCATTTTCCATTAAAATATTTTTCCATGGAAAAAATTTTCCTTCGTGCTAAACATACCCTAAATGTTTGATTTTTATGTAAAACTACGTTTAGAAACTAGGTTTAGGGTTTGTAGATATAGTGTATCATAACTCTCATTTAATTACCTCTACGTTATAATTATTTTTTTGGTAATAAAAGATGCTTATATTAATATAATTAAGTTACATTACAGGGAGCGGTGGACCTCGATGGTTCCACAGTACAAAGAGATGTTATAATGGGCGGGCAGTGTTGTTCCGAACTAGTACTAGTAGTTGATGCTGAATTTAAATAAAAAAGGATTGTAGTGTTGGCCATATGAGGTGAATAGTGCCGCAACTGTGTAGTGCCCATATGGTCATGCATCAGGTCTACCCTCAAAAAGAGTGGAGGAATCAAAAACATCGTTGGTGTATTTTCCATTGGTAGAGTGGAGCCGTATTTTGCAAGTTTATCTGCCACTGCATTTAGCTCCCTCTATGTGTGCAAGATACTTGGACTACCCAACTATTGGAGTAGAGATCTGCATACATAAAGAATGAATGAGTAATGAAGATTATGGTTCTGTAATATTAATTACCTGAGTAGAGTCCACATCTATTTCCAGTGGCATGAAGTTATATTGTGAAGCTATACGCAGTCCTTCAAGTAATGCATGCAGTTCCATTAAGGTACAATTGCCTTCATGGTGTCTTGCTGCATAACCTCTTACCCATTGTCCAGCACAATTCATGAAGACTCCGCCTAGACCATGCTGTGTTATGAATGGTGTGGAGGCACCATCGCAATTGAGTTTATAGTACCCTTGTACTGGGGGATGCCATTTGATAGGTAGTAAGGAAAGGGTTTGTGGATGACGTGCTTTGTTGTTAATTAGATAAATATATTCAGTAGCTTCTCCTATTATAAGACCCATATTGGGGTAGCTTTTAGTATTGTCAAATATATTTTGTATTTCGACTTTTCCATATATGCCACAGTGTATAGGGTATTAGAGTTTGTGATGGGAGATTTTGGGGAAGTGGTAGTTGAGTGGTAATAAGTTGCGATAGGCGAGGTAGAGGGTCTTCCTCATAGTGTCTTAGCAGTTGGACGTGGGCATAAATGCCTAAATTGTGCCAAACTATTTGTGCCTTTTGGACAGTGTAGCAGTAAGTGTTTGATATTTTCCGGTGCTCTATAGCAAAGACTGCACATTGGTGAATTGACAATGTTGATATGATGAAGATAGGTTTTAGTAGGTAGTCTATGGTGACTGCCGAGCCATATGAAATGTTTAATTTTTGGTGGTATAGGTAATTCCCAAATCCACATGAAGAAAGAGTTTGAGTGGGAATTATGTAGTTTGTGGTATAGTGATTGACCGTAAAGAGTCCTGATGGACTTAAGTTCCAAATTATTTTGTCAAAAGCAGAAGTATTGGTTATAGTAGGTATATATTTTTTTTAGTGTATTAATTAATTGTGGCGGAAACTCAAAAGAAATGAGGTCCAGGTTTATGGAATTGTGGGTCGTATAGTGTGTGCAACCGTTTGATTTTGGTGGTGTGGGGAAAGGGCCTTCTATTAATTATCTGAGTATTATTTTTGGTCCCATCCATGGTTCAGTCCCAAATTGGACGTGAGCACCATTGGAGATGTTCCATGTAAGCCCTTCTTGGCAGTAAGACCATCCTATTAGTATGGCCTTCCAAGTTTGGGTTATGGTGTTAGTGTGTCTATGATTTGAATATTTAGCGATGATTATTGATGCCCAGTGTGAGCGTGGTGAGTTGAATAGCCGCCATGCCTGAGCTTGAAGTAATGCGCGATTTTTATGAATTAGATTAGGGATTCCCAGGCCTTCATCTTTCTTTTCCAATTGAACACTTTTTTATTTAATTAGATAAAGTTTTTTTTTGTGGAGTTGTTCCCCAGAGAAAGTCTCTTTGGTATTTTTTAAGTAGTTGAGTTATATAATGGGGAATTTTAATAAGTTGCATTAGGTGATTGGGTTGACAATTAAGTGTAACTTTTATGAGTGTAGTACGGCCAGCCATGGACACCATATTTGTTTTCCAGCCTGCCACTATGTTTAAAATTATCCAGAAGGATTTGAAAATTATTTTTCCTAGGTCGTTGACTAAAAATAGGGAATCCTAAGTATCTACCAAATTGTGATCCTTCCTTCATGTCAAAGGATGATAGCACAAATTCTTTTGCTTCAGTGGTGATATTTTTGGAGAAGAATATTTTTGATTTTGTGTAATTAATGGTCTGCCCTATGGAATTAGTAAAGAGTATAAGTGTATCAATAAGGGAGTGGACGCTCTTAGTAGTCAATATGGAGATGAGGGTGATATCATTGGCAAAGAATAGATGCAATAACTATGGTCCGTGTATAGGTAATTTTATAGGGTGCCATAGCCCGTAATCAACTTGTGAGTGTATTTTCATGGTCAACACCTGTAGGCATAAAATGAACAAATAAGGTGATAGAGGATCCCCTTGATGTATTCCTCTAGTTGGACTGAAAAAAGGTGTGGGGGCTCCATTGATTAGGATGGATATTGTGGATGAGGTAATGCATGACCTGATTAAATTAATCAAGGGTGCTAGGAAACTAAAGTAGATTAGTGTATCCCTAATGAAATCCCATTCTAGTTTGTCAAAAGCTTTTTCGAGGTCTAATTTTAATAGGAATTCGCCTTGCGTTCCTTTTTCTTTTTAAACTGGTGGATTATTTCTTGAATAATAATATCATTGTCTGAAGTTCTGCGATAGTATAAGAAGGCAGATTGTTCAGGGCTGATAATTGTTTGAGGTTTAATACGATGGACTATAATTTTTGTAATTATTTTGTAAAGGGTGTTACAAAGTCTTATAGGGCGGTATTAGGTGATAGTAATGAGGTGTAGTATTTTGGGGATGAGACATATGTATGTTTTGTTTATTTATGGTGGAATGTCTTGCAAAAAGATATGAGAGAAGGTGCAATGTATACCCAGTAATGTTGGTAAAAAAGCGGGTGTAAGACATCTGGACCCGGAGCTTTTAGTGGTTAGAAAGATTTAACACCTCTAAAAATTTCGATAGTGGTTGGGGGGGGGGGGAGGTAAAGTTAGGCTGTTAATTTATTCTTGTGTGAAGTGGTGGTGACTTAAGATAAAGGAGTGTTTTTGATGGACTATGTGGGAAGTCGTAAATAGATTTTTGTAGTATTGTTCGATTTGGCAAATAGTAATTTTTTAGTCATAGATCCAGTTTCCCACTGAATCTTTTAGTTCCGTTATATGATTTCTTCCGCGACGCTTAATAGTTGTTAGGTGAATTTTTTTGTATTAGCATCGCCTTGTTGGACCAATTTATACGTGATTTTAATTTCCAGAATTCTTCTTCTAGTTTTAATAACTCATTAAACCCGGCTATCAAGTCACATTGTAGGTTTTGTAAGAATGAACTCGTAGGATATGCAGGTGAGGATTGTGTTCCTTTTATCCTGGCTAGAAGTTTAATTTTTTTCCTAAAAATACTTCCAAAGGTGGATTTATTCCAATTGGTAACATCCTTGGTAAAGTCCTCAATAGCAAGAAGAATGGATTTATTAATAGGCCAATTTCTTTGTATAATTGATAAGAATTATGGGTGGCTTTGCCAGATAGTTTCAAACCTAAATATTTTTTTCTGTAGTGGAATATATTTTATTAAGTTAAATTAATAAAGGACAATGGCCCGAGTGTGTGCGAGACAGATGTTGTACTAAAGCTTGAGAAAAAAGGTTGATCCAATCA